TTACTCCTCCAATGTAACTACACTAAACCACCAAGAAATATGGATAAAGACTCATCCATCTGTGCAAAGCTCTCTCATAAATGCATATGAAAAGGGAGCTAAATGCAGAGATTAGTATACACTGAGATGGGCAATGGAACACATGTTAAGGCAGCAGGCTCCTGTTACCATGGTCCTGAGATGGGGAAGGTATTAACTTACTCTTTTTATCAGTATTGAGAAAAAGCTACATATGATACACTGTGATTTTGAGTAAGGCTATGCTTTGCCTTCCCAAGATCCACCAGATTATAGATGCTAATTCTCCCACATTTCTGACTGAAACTCAGAGTATCCAAAAACAAAAGCACAAGCTGCCACAGCATGAGCTAACAACACTTTTTCTGGGGCAAGAGAAAACTACTCATCTGCAAATAACAGACATCACTTACTTATAAAAAAACATTGCTTTCATGGCTGCATTGGAGAACAAAATAATTGAAAAGCCTTCTTCCGTGATTTTGTTGTCCTGTTCCTACCTAAACTCTAGGACAGTACTATTTATTACTAGATGCACCTCTCGGATCAGCAGCACTTTAGCATACTGGCTACCAACCCAAACATTGCAGCTTGGATGGAGGTACTCTGGCACCGCTTAATTTTCTTCTTCATGTACCTGCACAGCACATAGGAACAGCAGAACTCAAAACCCACCAGTAAGCCTGGTTAAATGAGCAGAAAGGCAGCAGCTCTTAGGGAACTTCATCAGCTTATCTATATCCAGATAAGCAATTAAGTTACCTCTGGTGGCAATTGCTGCAAAGTAAGTGTGTCTCTGGCCAGTAAAGAAGTGCTTTTGTGTATTCGTAGACTGCAGTGAGAAAGCATTGCAAAATATATTAGCAGAAAGACAGAACCTCCATGTAGATCTGTTCTGTTGCACTCTAAGACCTAATCAAAGAACAACTGTTAAGCTATTCTTTAACTACAGTAGTGCCAAGACAGAGGCTTTATTCAAGACTTGTTGAAAACTTGGATACTGACTACTCCAGAAATCTGCAGGGAAAGGTTATGGCAAACTCTGTGCTATCTTACCTGTGCAAACAATCTTCCTCTCCTCCAGTGAAAAATCACAACCTATTAATGCAGCCCAACATTGTTTGGAGTACCAACAATTTCCAGAAGCCATAGAGCTCTCATTCCATGCCTGACCATCCCCAGTGACCATCATATCCTCCATAGCCACAATGGTAAGGAGGCAGTCCTCCAAATACGTTTCAGCAGAAAAGTAGGCTAAACAACAAACTAATTGCCTAAGGGTGGAATTGCACCTGCAGCCCAAAGCAACTTGAGCCCAACAGTGCTATAAACTCTTCATCCAGGAAAAGTGCTGCTGAGACAATGCCCTGCAGCAAACTCAATAGCAGGCTAAGCTAATAGCTGCAGGGCTCTTGTCTCCAGAGACATCATCTAACTGATGGGAGACCTGCTGATTCAGAATGGAGTCACTTCAGCTTTCTATATTGCTAATATGGCCATCAAAACGGTCGTACACAATAAACTCCTTCTGACTAAGCATCTAACTAGTAACCAGAATTAACTATGGAAGACTGGAATGTCTAGAGCCATGAGCCCTGTAACCCGTGTTCACACACACCAATCTTTTTTTTTCCTTTAAAGCACTCAAGGAAATGCAGTTCAAAAGAACATTGGCTATGAATGACTATTTTAAAAGCTACCAAGAGCTAGTCTTTCTTAGCAGAGAAGACCCAAAGCACCTATGGATGAAGAAATGCTATATGCAAATGCTTCAAGCTGCTTCTGCATGAGCTACAGCACCCCAAAACATCCACTGTGACTTGAATCATTATGTCATCCTCCTTGAAAGTGAATATTCAAGTTAAGACAGAGAAAGACAACAGTTGTTCTTAAAACACTAGAAATGATTGTTATTTGGAAGTCATCTTCAGCATAGTGCTTTTTCCATTCAGTAAATATCTTGTGCCTCTGTTATCTTACTTGAAATATGAAGTATCACAATATTTAGAAATACTTCCATGTTAAAAACAAACACGAACCATTTTTCATGGCTTCTGAACTCATTCCTTGCATTTAGAACTATAAATCCATGAAGTGACTGTAAGCAATAATAACACTACTACTTGAAACACATTTCAACTGGAACTCCTACTAATTACCAGTTTATTTCAGATAAAATTAGTGACCATTGATCTTCTGAACTACACCAAAATCAAATTCTGTTTGAGATAGTTTTGGGGAGCCAAAGCCTTCCCTGGCATTAGTCCATCTAACCACAGACCAGAAAGGTGGTAGTGACTTATCTTACTCTTTGTAACCCTACCTGACAGATTCAAACTTATCTCCAGCGTTATTCAGAGAAGTGGGAATTTTCCACTGTTTCTATCTTACTCAGCCCTACTGCTCACATTTAAAAATTCAAAAGCAGTCATGAGTTTGCAATAAATGAGAAAGTACAAAAGGAAGCGTCTACTCAGCTCTGAGATGGAACAAAAGAAGAAAATTGCCTATAGCTGGCTTCACCCTGCCTTTTCACAGCAATGAGATTCATTACACGTATGCTTCTCTGAATTATTTTAATCCCATCACTGTCAACACAAGTTCTTCACAACACAACACAAGCAGTCAGGAGATATTGATGGCTTTATTGGACCTGCTGACCACTTTGTTACATCCAGATGCGTTCCCCCTGTATGGAGAAATTAAGAGATGCTGTGGTGTTGTTTCTGATCATAATGTAGGAGGAAGTCACACAGATCTAAACCTCACAGTTGCTCAGGTTGCATTTCAATCCTGTAACTTAGGGGATGCTGCCATCAAGAGTTTTGAAGACATAAATGGCACGCTGACAGCCGTTGTCAGTGAGGACAATGAAAATTGGCAGCTCTAGCCAAGTATGAAGCATGACAAATTGCAGGAAAGCAAAAGGAAGACAGTGTTTCACTCAATTCAGAAGTGAGATGACATTTGCTAGGAAACTGATGGGAATTCTTCAGGCAGTCTACAAGATGTGCTAAATGTTACTTGCATTATAACAAATCATAAGGTATCAACTGCAAAAATCAGTTGCCTTTAATGAAGACTTCTAGAGAAGAAAAAAAAATGCAGAGGCAATTAGACAACTGAAACTAGAAATATGCTGTATTTAAGTATCTTTGAAGCATGAAGGACCTAACAAAAACATTTAATAAAAGAAAATATCAAATTGCTGCAGCTCATCAGGCTGACAGCATCTTGAGCTTATGGAACACTTAGCAGGTTTCCCTCTTCTCTTTACACCTACACTAGCAATATGTTTCCAAAAGCACATTCTTCTCTAAGATAAAACCAACTTCAGTATGTTTATCTATTGTTTCTTACCACTGAATTGGAAGAGATCACTTTCCCTTCACTAAAAAGAGATGTAAACTCATAGCATCAATGCCTAAAAAATAGAAAAGTTGTTTAAACTGCAGCCTATATTTGCTTAATACCAATAGGATTTTTATTTTTACACATTTGGAGGGGAGCTGTTTGCTAAACAGACTTTGTTTGCTGATCACACTTTTCAGCTATCATAATGCTTTGATCAGTCTAGGATTGGAGTGTGATGATTTCCCATCGCACTGCAACAAAAAAAAGTGTATATTTATCTATATACATACATACACCATCTTTTTAAGCACTACTGGTCATCCCAAAAGAATTTTTGACAAACTGATTTTAAAGAAGCTTTTTAAAAAGCATCTTTTTAAAAAGCATCCAAACAAAATAAAATAATTTCCTTCTAAAAGGAAAACCTCTGGGAAAAAAAGCAGCCATATTTTTAAGCATAAAGAATTCACACAACAAATTGCTTATATACCTTACCAGGAAAAAAAAAAAAAAGAGAGCATCTCTGAATTTCAAAATTACATTCTAGAAGTAGAAAACAAACTTGAGCTAGACCTAAATGGCATCAGTAGCAACACTACATTCTCTTGGTAAATCATGAAAAGCAGCATTTATCACTATTTTTCTTAACAGTTTGACATTTGCCTCACTATCAACCTACAGAGCAGCGATCCACAGAAGCAGCACTAGGGGCCCACAGCCCCTTTCCTCCCCAATGAGAGCTGTTCAGTTGAACCTTAGCAGAGTCTCAGTCTACCATATGAATTCCCCCTCTTTGACCCCTCCGTGGCAAGAAGAGATAACTGCAGCAGATTAGCAAACGGCACGTTTAATTACATACCTGCTTCACTAAGCTAAGCAAGTGGCCCTCAACACCTCAGCTAAAAGCACAACACTTTGTTGCAATCTGGAGCAATGTACAAAAACTTCTTCCTCGTTAGATTCTCGTATCATTAATTCCAGCAGATGATGGTTCCACAATTTATTAAGAAGTCCTTCTTATTTCATAATAATAATTAAAAAAACAAAACAAAACATTAAGTTGACTCTGGAGGAGCTTTTCACATTACCAGTTTAAATGTAAGCCTAATCCAGGAATGCAGACTCTGCACAGCACACACAACAAATTGCATTACACGTTTTAGAACCAACGTATGGATTTCACAATAAAATTTTAAGCACGAGTATAAACAGCATCCTGATGCTCCACATACATTAGGCATTTTAAAAGATGCACATTACCACCAAATAAAACTTATCACAGACTGTGCAGAAAACATGTAATTCATAAAGAGCTGAACTGAATAGCTGAATTCTCCTTGCATACCAATACTGCTGGTTCCCCAAGAGACTTAAGCAGTTGGAAGCTCTGTAGTACATGAGGGGAAAACCAACAACCAAGCCCATTCTTCAGTATTTTTGATAAAAGACAGGAAGATATGAAATCCCAAACGTTGCCTTCTGTGTAAAAAAGAAATTCTTTAATCTCCATAAAAATATTACAAAATAACAATAATAACAACACTCTACATCCATTTTCTTGGGCCTCTTAAATAAAAGACCACAAAGAAAACCTCTTGTGAAGAAGTAGGAAAACAGTTTTTACTCACTATGTATCCAAACTCAGCTGCAGCTCTGAAGTGACCCAGCAACTCTTTGCACTGCAAGAAAGCAGTGGGGTTTCACTTCACCATTTTTATCACCACAATCAGCATCAGCTGTTGAGCTCAGCTCTGTAAGCTGTAATCTGGGGAAAATCTATGTCAGGTGCTCCCATTCTGGAATTAAATGTTGCAAGTCCCAGCTTCTAAGGCAGGTGGTGTAAATCTTTGCCTCCTCCCCACTGAAATTAATCCTTTTTTGGTAGAGGAGAAAAATCACTTCTGTGTCTCATTAACGCTTCCTATTCTCAAGGATAAGATTTGCTGTTTTTAATTGATCATTTTCCTGATTTTTCTCTCTGCTTTATACCCATGAATTCAGAGCAAAACCACTAAGAAATGAAGTAACTGCTCTGACAAATGCTGCAGTTGAAGAAGAAAGAGGAAAAAAATGTAAATAGATGGCAAGAACAAATACAAACTCCTGTGGCTCAAAAGCTTAACAGTGTGATTTCAGAGAGCTCAACTTAATCCAAATGCATATCAACGTGTTCTTGAAATACACTCTATTCCTTAAAATAAAAACATTTTTAAAGTCTTTTTTCTTCCTCACCTCTGCTAATTTTGTCACAGTGTGAAAATCCTGGTATTATCAGACATCCTACTCTCCCCTTTGATCGTAACAAGACAAAGAAGTTCTCCTCCTCAGTGAGAAAAATAAGGGAATGAGGAATAGCAAGAAAAAAAGAAAGCTGATGAAACCAAAAAACTAATTAAAAAGTAACACTGCTTGCCATGTAGAATCATTTCTCTCCTTTCATAATGGTTCCTGGAGCTCCGCTGAACTTTGCAGGGTCGCACAGAACAGCAAACCATGCATATGTATGGCAGTTCAAAAATAGCACTGCAGTGAAGGTAATTGAATGGAATTAGGGTGCTTTTCAACTTCAGTAACTGAAGTAGGTATAAAGGGAGCCCTCAGACTCCGTATGCTTCCTGCACGGTGGCCTTTGGTTTGCTTCATGTCTTAGAAATTCTACAGGGAAGACAGCCAAAGAGAAAACGACAGTTGCTCAGCTTTTACATTACAGTTCAGTTGGATTTAAGTCTTGTCCTTTATTTTTGTGGCAGGAAAATAAAAGGGATGACATGCAGGAGGATTCTCTATACTGTCATGAGCGCACTTGTGAGCTCGTTTTTATAGTGCTGGACTCAAAGGATGCAATGTTCCTCCCCAGGAACACAGCAGACTGAATTGTGTAATGGCAGACACTGCTGTTTTAAATTGTTTTAAGGTCACTGAATGGAAACATACTGGCAGTAAAACTTGCTCTAGGTTTCATCTTAGCAATATCATGTCATGGTGTCAGAGTATACGAATGGGGAGGGAATCACCAGCAACAAAGGGCATCTGATGACTGTTCTGATGAAATGAACCTCAACAAGTAAAACCGTTGAAGTTTAAGTACCCCAGTACCAACTTGTTTGCAATTGGCAAATTCTTGGAACATGGTAGCTCTGAAAATCAGATGGCTAATAGAATGTTTTCTGCCTTTTTGCATATTTTGAAATACATATTAAATGTATTTATTAATTCTGTAGTTGGCAAGTCAAAGCTGCTATTCCCACCAAAGAAGCCCACATGTTAACAGAGCAAAATCCACCATATACTTGCTTACATTTCTGAATGTCAGCACTCCTCACACAGAATACTGCTGATTAACTCTTAATTGCATGCTATTAAAAATGCCACCACTGGATTAAAATTTCCGGAAAAGAAGAGGCTGGTGAGCAGACGTGTCAGCACAGCTCTAACTGCAGTGGTTTGGTGATGATGCAAAAAATCAACAGCATTACACAGAGAGGCTTCACTGTGGCTAAACAGAGAAATTTGAAACAGAACAACAATCTGCCATTTTATGGACCAGTTCAAAGTCTAAAAGTGGCTCTATTTATAAATACCTTTTTTTCTTTAAAAAAAAAAAGGAGTTAAAAATTCCTCAAGATGTTTTGCTTTTAACATTTCAAATCTTTATGTACCACTTTAATAAACAGGTAGACGAAAAGCTTTAATCTCTCTCTTTTATTCATAACAAGCATAAATGCACTTCCTGTTGATAGCCTGATTTTAGATGAAGGGGAAACCATCAAAACAAGATCCAAAAGTAAACCCAAAGGAAAGAACAGTGTATCCAAGTGCCTTTGCTTGGAACACCTGCAATACAAAGTCATGATAACAAATGGACATCTGTAGATGGAGTTAGTGTGAACAGCTCACACTACTTCCATACATTGTGTATTTGAATTCATTAGGGTGCCTCGGTACCGTCAGCATGATTATGAACAAAAATCCCAATGAGAATAAAGGAACCAGCTACAAAGCAGTGAATTTTAAGCAAACTTCTAAAGTTGTGCTCAGTGCGTAACTCTTTGGCATTCCCTGCATTGTTTCTACATTCAATTAGATTTCACCATGGAGGTACTTCCTCAAGACTTTGCTCTAACCAGCATGCAACAGCTTCTTTTGCAGCAAAAATCCAAAACTCTCAAAGTATTTGAGAGTCCAGGCCCAGGAAGTAGTAGGAACGTGACCATCACCAGAAATCTGGCCTTTGGATTTGTAGTCCCTCAACATATTTAACTTTCTGAACTTGCCTAACTTCATAAACTAATCTAATTCTCCGAATTTCTTCCTACCAATGAAAATTTGATTCCATGCATGCTAGCCAATAGGGCCTACTGCAAAAATTAAGAAATTAGAAGTAGACTGGAGAGAAAAAAGGCTTACAAAACTATTTGCACTAATATCTTTCAATATCAAGTTTCCAGGGATCTTTTAGAAGTCTTTATTTCAGCAAAATCACATAAGAAATTAAAAGAACATTGAAGCTGTCTCAGCTCTTCAAATTAGTTAAGGAATGGAGTCAACCTTTACATTTAGAAGAGACCTCTGTCAAGTATGTGCCTCGATATTTTCTACTACTGAAATTAAGTAATTCATCTGGTTAAGTCCAGTTATGTCATCCACGCTTTCACTGCACACAGAAACCACAGTAATTCTAGGTTTGTTAAGGTATGGGTCTGCTTAAGATCATAGGGTGTCTTACTGGTAATTAGATAAACATTTAATTTTTTGAAATGAGCAACATTTGATATAGGCATTGCATTCGTATTTTATTATGCAATTTGTTGTAGAACCCATTATACTACCTTACATCTGTGTGAAAGATTATAATTTCAAAGGATCTCCCAAAGATATGCGCTGTATTTATATGCACATCTATAGAAGTAGACATATATTCATATATATATGTATATAGTGTAGAGGCACACATGAACACTTTGTCTTTGATCATCCCAGGAATCCACAGGACTGCAGATGGGAATTCTCCAAGAGAAAATAAAATAATAAAATGAGCAAGAATAACAAAAATATTTTTGCACATCTGCAAGCCAGAGCTTATATTATTCCTCAACACATTTAAATATACAGCTCTCAGGTGTTTTTATCCTTTTCTCAAAGTTAGTTTTTCAGCTGAGCCCTGAAATTTTGCTTACCAAAGTTCTTGACCAACCAAGAAAGAGTAATTCCATTTTATTCCCTATCCAACAGAGTTTATATTCAATTTTCTTTTCTTATTTCAATACGACATAATTGCTTGTGCATGCATGTGAACAGTTGCTATTTAAATGCTTGTGGAGAGCTCAATTTCTGGCTCATTTAATTGCCTGAGGCCATTGGCTAAGAAGATCTAAGGAGTTGTGTATGAGTACATAATTTATTTTATCTGCCCAGAATGAACCCTCCGGTCTCTTTTGTGATAGTGGTGTTGTTTGTCATTGCTCCATAATTCACCAGCATCATTAATTGCATACATGCACAATACCCTCTGCGAGGCGTGCACTCGCATACCCTTGTCTCTCCTTTTATTAGCTGCATAATGCCAGGCCTCCTGGCATTAGGGATTAGGAAACATGTCTTACTGATGGATTGCTGGGTCCCACCTGTATACGCTCATCCATAGTTCATAATTCTGCCAAATGCGACTTCTGTTGTGCTGTAACTCACAAACCATTTACCACAGCCCTTAATGACAATTTCTATATTCCCATACCAACGTTACATCAGCTCATCTGTACAATTCCTTCCTCACAGCAGTGATGCTGGACATGCACTGACAGTGCTCATCGATTCCAGGGATCGTACTTAAAACACTCTTCCCACTGAGAGCAAGAAGTTGTATGGGGAGGATTCACAGGTGTTGGGATAGATTTTATTTCACATTTTTCCCAGGGAAAGTCAAATTTCTACCTGGGTAAACCTGCTTTGTTCTCCTTCACACCACCCCAGTTCTTGCAATTATTACCACAAGAATAATTATTACAAGTTGAAGTTCCAGTGTATTCAGTGAAATATACCACCCTACTCTGAATACATTAATCATTTCACATTGTGACTTAAAGCTTCCCCACAGAAAAGGAGGCTGCAATCAAGAGACAATGCTACAGCAGAGCCAGAAATGAAACAAGGAATATCAGAAAATGTCAGAGAAGCCCTGCGCAAAGCATAAAGAACTGCTTCGTCTTTCCTACCTGGCTCTCACCCATATTCCTCCTATCAACAAACCGGAGAAAGAAATTCACAGTTCTGGTTAAGAAACCTGGATACTGCCAGCAAACGTTTGTTTTCCCTACAGTAAATTTCATCATGACTCTGCAAAGGTGATAAGCCCACCTGGTATTCCCTGATGGACTCAATAAGAAAAAAAGGCACAGAACAGCCACAACACCACAGCTGTCCATCATTAGTCCCGTTAAAGTTGGTATCAAACCCCATCAGCTGTGAGGGCTTTGCAGGTTCCCAGATCATAAGGCAGCACAGCTACAAGAAAACAGAAACAAGGGGTTGTCTTTTTGCCATTCCTTAAAATTTAATTTTATCAAGGGATTTTCTGTTTTGATTATGTATGTTCAACGTGGAAAATTCCATTATCTTCACAACATGTACTAAATGTAACTGCATCTACAAAAGATTAAAAGGAGACATCAGCTAAAGAGCATCTGCTTTTTATCTTTGTCTCTGAGTTTG